TTAGTATCGGTGTAGGACTATAGCGTGTATTAGTCCTAGTAACAGTTTAACGTCGGAACTCCTGATCCTCAGTCGTTAGGCCCTTAACAAAGGGTAGCTCTTTATAAAGAGTTACCCTTTATTTGTCTGTTAGGAAGTCAGCCAAAGCATCCTTGGCATGTGAAAGCTCAGTTCTTGGCAACCAGGAGTCATCCAAGGCTGGGTATCCTTTCCATCTTACCCAGTACAGTGTTTGCTTGCCAACTGTCTTTGAATCAATGATACATTCAATTTCAAACTCCTCCTGGTTCTTGATTAATTCTGGTGGTGGTTGGAGGTAGTTCTTCCCGTGCATTATTGTTTCTGAATAAGGATAGAGTAATCCTGCGTGGAACACTGGATGAATCTTCCATTTGGGTGGTAGTTTTAGGCAGTAAACAACTGATGATAGCTTCTGATTAATAGTGAAAGGACCATAGCATTTTGGACCAAGTTTTGCCTTTGGGTAGAGTCCTTTGAGATTAGTGGCTTCCAGCCATACCTTCTGTCCAGGTGTATATTTGACAAACTTGTCCTTATTCCATTTTTTGACCGTTTCCTCTGCTAGTCAGATACTGGATTGGATTTCTGTGCAAAGGTGTGCTAGCTAGGTGAGTGTAGAAGTGATATCTGGAGTATCAGTTGTTCCTACAGTGGGAATATTATGCCAAGGTTGGTAACCCATGAGCGCCTGGAACGGAGATGTCTTGATTGCATCATGGTACCTATTGTTATGCATGAATTCTGCCAATGGCAGGTGACTTGTCCAATCAGTTGCTCAGTGATTGCAAAAGATCCAAAGATACAATTCCAAGTCCTGGTTGACACGTTCCAACTGTCCATCAGTCTGAGGGTGGAATGTGCTGGAGATGTTCTGTTTGATGCCTAATTTAATGTATAATTCCCTGAACATTCATGATGCAAACTGTGGTCCTCTGTCGGAGATAGCCTTAACAGATAGTCTGAATTGTCGGAAAATGTGGTTCTGATACAGGGTAGCTGTCTCAGATGCTGTGACTGTCTTGTTGCAGGGGATGAATATGGAGGCTTTGGTACAGTCATGATCAGTGACCACTAGACAGCTGTCAAAGCCATCACTCCAAGGTAGATCCATGATGAAGTCCATGGCGATGGATTGGAATGAAAGGTGATGTTCCATTGAGATTGGTACTAGATCTGGTGAGTTCCTGTGTGTGATGACCTTGTTTTCTTGGCA